GAGAGAGAGAGAGAGAGAGAGAGAGGGGAAGAGAAGTCTGGTACATTTCCTCCCTGTCCCACAGAAACTGCGTTTTCCGAAAGCCCTTTTGACACTGAAGTGAATGCCCACTGGCCCTCCCTTTCTGAATTCTCCTGAGAGGGGAGAGAGAGGGGGGGGAGGGGGGCTTTGTACTTGTTGTCATCTTTTGTTTCTGTGATTATACACAAAGTACATTGTAAATAGCTCTCTCATGCACTGATTCCTCTGAGGTCTGTACAGAGAGTAGCCAGGTACCCTGCTTGAGCTTCCTCTGGAGTTCTCAGAGTCTTTTTGCAGGTTTTCTTACTTGCTGTTACTGAAGAACCAGCAGAGTGGTCTGTATGTTTCAAAACAGAATCCCAAAAAGAAACTTGTAAAATAAAGTTTAGAAATACTAGCTGGATTGGTTCATTATTTTTTCTTCAACAAAAAAAAATCATTTTATTACTCTAAAAGCAAAATGTACTAAGAAGAAAAAATCAACTACAGTGCCCATGAGGTCTCAATCCTTGTGAATATTTTGTAAAAAATCATTGTAGCTTCATCTTAGAGTATGGTATTGAAATAGACACTGGTTACTAAGACAGAGGAACATGGATAAAGAAGATTACCAAAATCACTTTAAGATTTTTATTGCAAAATCTAGACAGGCCTACTGTGTTTGAGTATTTCAATTCACAGTGGAGGAAGGATAAGGTGGACAATTTTGTTGGCCCTCATGGCAGTCACTTATGGCAGTCACTGGTTGCTTATAGAGAGCTGGCTAACTTTTGAGGTTTTTAAATCAGAAGATGGAGGAGTCTATACCAAATTACAGCTAATTAACTCGTCATCTTTTATGCCCCAGATGCTGCTCATTTTTCTTTAAAACTTTCTCCATCTGATAACTGATGATGAGACTGGCTGTGGCAGTTGTGGTGGGCGCTGGGCATTGTTCGAGTATAACCCTCTTGAACTGTGCAGTTGAATTTCAGTCTCCGTTGTCTTTTCTCTAGAATATGGGAGTCTGCTTTCATGCATCCTTGTGTTTTTCTTTTTCCTGCTGGAAATGCCAGGACTCCCAAGTTTAGGAATGCTACCCACGGCTAGTTCTTCTTTGTGACTAGGACTGTTGAAACATACTGGTAGTTTGCTGTACCTTTCCTTCCCAGCTTAGAAGACTTTGTTTTCTCTAAGAACTGTATTTCTAAGTGTCTGAAGTTGTAATTGAATGTAATTATAGTTGTTTAACTTTCTCCTTTCCTCTTGAGAGTGTTTATAAAGTGCATTCTGTGAGTGTGAGGATAAAAAGAAACTAGAAGCTTACTATTGGTGACATGGTCAAATAATATTAAGATAAGTAGCAATTTGCTTTGTGTATGTGAAATAAGGTATTGTTTACACACAATTTGCAATATATACATTCTGGCTTATGGAAACCATTTCAGTCAGCTCTGTAGTAACATTTGTTAGAGTTTTATAGGAATCTTTTGTGGGATGGGAGAGGATTCATTTTGATATTGAATATTCCAAGATTGATTTTTTTCCTTTTCCTTTTATTGTCCCCTTGAGAGAATTACTGATGCAGAACTCATTAGTGCCCCTCCATATGTCAACTGTAGGGTACAATCAGCATCAGTTCCATTTGTGACACAACACAGATTCCTAATAACTCTGCTGTCTATGCCCAGTTCCTCATACCTTCCTACAATTTAGAGTATATAAATTCTCCTTTACAAAATGCTTATATTGTTTCAGAATAAAACACAAAGGGTGGGTAATTTCCTGTATTGTCTTTATAATGTGTAAAATCAACAAATGTCTTTAGAATTGATGACATTAAAAGGAATTTTTCTTGCATAGTATCTTGTCCTCAATAGTTCTTTTCCTTTTCATTTCTAAAGTTTGAAGTTTGCAACTTAATAGCAGGTAACACAGAGGTAATTATCTACTCTAAGCCTTGACTTTTTTGCTTATAAAATGGAAATACTCATATAAAATTGTTGAAGATAAAAAATGTCTTAATTATTATACAAGATGCCTACACCCTGACTCACACATGGTGTTGGTAAAACACTTTTGTAAAGAGGGGATTATTTTGGGTTGCAGAGTGGCTTTGTGGTTAAGAGCACTGATTGCTCTTTCAGAGGTCCTGAGTTTCTCTCACACATATTATTGTTCACAGTTGTCTATAACTCTAGTTCCAAGGGATCCAACACCCTTTCTGGGCCTCCATTGGTACCATGCATGCATATGGTACACAGACATTTATTCAGGCAAAAATGTATATAAATAAAAATAAAAGACATGGGACATGTTGGCACTTGCCTGAACCTCAGCACTTGGGTTGTAGAAGCAGGTAGACTTGGGATTTAAGGCAACCTTCAGCCAGATAGCTAGGTAGAGGCCAGCCTGGGTTATATGAGACCCTTCTAATAAGCAAACAAGACTCATTAACTGTGACAGCAGATGGCATTTAGGCATTATACCATTTGGGCCTCAGCATGAAAGACAAATAAGAGATTTAAGCAGAAAGCTTTGGTTCTAAAAAATATTTGAAAAGATGATTGCTTTATGTTATGGGAGACAGTCCTTAGAGCAGGTGGGACTTACCAAAAACTGTTTAGTGCTTGAGCATCAAACTGATTTGTAAGTTGAGAGAAGGAGGGAATCACTTAAGTGGTTCACCTATCTGAGAATGACTTCTTAACAAGGACATTGATAGCACAGATGACCTTAATTGGAATTGTGAGGGACTCATGCCAAAGACACATGTGATATGTCTCATAGTTGATGTACTGAGGTAGATATTGGTAGATATGTAATTAGCACAGATAGGGTGTGCTGGCAAATACCAAGAGAAAATTTTATGTTTGCTATCCTGGGGATGGAATCCAGAGCCTTGCTTATGTCATTCAACCCCTCTATCTTTGAACTAGATCTCCAGGCCCCAGAGAAAAGTGTTACAAGTAGGAAATAAGTTTAGATGGATTCTAAATCCATTTCTCTTCATTTTAAATTCAGAGATGAGATAAGTTGGAGTAGGCAGTATTTAGGCATGATACTGACTGGTTGTAATAAAAACATAATTTTGAAGGAAGATTTTTGTGGATTTCAGGGTAGAACTCTAGATGCAATGTTGTATTTTTGTTATTGTTTGGAACAAAATTTATTCCATGTTTCCTGTACCTAAAGACAGTAACTTTTGCGGGGGGGGGGGGGGGCGGGGGGTTTGGGGTGGAGGCTTTTTTTTTTCTCTTGATTTTTTTTTTTAGGTTCAGTGTTCTACTAGATATGAACAAAACATCCCTTCCCCAACAAACAAGAAGCAAAACAAGAAAGTAGCATGAAAATAAAATATAAACATTTATAAGTTAAAATATACCTGTGCTAACATATTCCTGTAAAGGGGAAATTAAGCATCTTTTTTTTTTTTTTTTCGGGGACAGGGTTTTTCTGGGTAGCTTTGGAGCCTATCCTGGCACTTGTTCTGGAGACCAGGCTGGCGCCGAACTCACAGAGGTCCGCCTGCCTCTGCCTCCCAAGTGCTAGGATTAAAGGCGTGCTCCACCAACGCCCGGCCAAAATTAAACATCTTTTAAGAGTAGAAAAGAACTTTAGACAATATATAATGTGTTTCACTCAATTTTCTCTGGAAATTTGAAGGGTAAAGTGAAAAGAAGGTATTATCAATGCCCAGTAAAGAGTCTATGTTTCAGTCTTTTTCCTTCCCTCATTTTCTCCTTTTTAACTTCCCTTCTTGCTGTCTATAGATATTTATGACTATTCTGTGCTGCATGATGTAAATATGGGACCTGGGCCAAGGGAGTAAAATTTATGTAGATCTTTCCTTCTTATAATTACCTTTTCATAGTTTATAAACTAAGTTTCATGTATTTTTAATATATTTGTCACAGCAAATGTCAAATATGTGTTAGGTCACCATGGCCTTTTCCAGACCTGTGGTTGGGATGTCCCTACTTCTGACTGGGTAGAGTGTGACTATGTTGCAGCCCCCATACCCAGCATCTAACCAGGCCATATTCCCTCAGGTTCCACTGGCATGTGCTGGCAGAGTGCTGGGTGCAGACTTTTGCCCAAACCTGGAGGAGCCAGACCAGAGGCTGGAAGTCCAGGTTGGAGTCTTACTATTTTATTAGCTTGGGGTGGTGTGAGAGAAACAATAACCCCTGGAGGCATTACCATTGTTACCAGTGCTATCAAGAGATGACAACCCTGAAACAGGCATAAAGAGAGATTGGTGTGGCATACATGTAGCAAAAGGCCCTTGTAAGCAAGTGTTAGAAGAAATTTATTATCCATCCGTCCATCCATCCATCCATCTGTCTGTCTGTCCGTCCGTCCATCCATCCATGAGATGTCCTCTGGGGTAGAAAAACAATCCTTGATCCCTATAGGCTGATTGTGTAGACTGACACAGGTTACTGCAAGATTTTTGGCAAATGATTCTATCTGGGTACTTAATAAGAAAAGCAACACTTAACAGTAAGCATCATCTGTCTTAGTACAATGGAGGATATGTTCAAAGTACAGTTCTCCTGAAAATGTTGGCTTGGATTTTAGCACACTTTGTGTGGTCTTGAGGCATTAGACCTGATGTGGCATATTGCAAAATAAAAAAATATAAAGATGATGAAGAACATCTCTGCTTTTGTGTGCTTTTGGAATTTTGAGTGATATGTTTGCCATTACAAAGTACAAGCTGAAGTTTCAACATGGATGGCATGAATAAACCCATTTTTTCACAGTCTCAACTTGGCATCATTTTCTAGATTTTTCATACTTTGTGTAATAAGTATACTAAGTACAATATTAAAGGTTTTTTTTTGTTTTACTGATTTAGATGCAACACACAATAAAAGAGAACAATTTTTACAATTGAGTTTCTCATACAGAGAATGAGGGTGAGACAGGGAAGCTTAAATTTTTATAGTACTAAAGGGATGGTGTACCATTTCTTGCACACCTGCTCTTGGCCTAGAAAAGACCACCTGAGCTTTGTTGTGTCCCAAGCTGGTACTGTCTAGGTGGTATATGGATGTGATACAATAGAAAAGCAGGTGTGGCACATTCGAGTTATGATCATGTATTTCCTAGTTCTGGAAAACTAACAGTGTATGTGACATACAGATGCAGAGTGACAGAAGACTTCTTGTGGGGAGTACTTGACCCTTGGCATGACATGGGGATGTTCTTCCAGGATCATCATTAGTTGCTTATGAGGGTGATTGTTGGATAATGTGTTTTGAATCTTGAGTTATAGTGCGAAGAAAATGGGTTTGCAATAACGTTCTACAATAAAATGTAACTATACTTATTTAACGTATTATCTTGGCATAATGATGGAGGGGAAAAGCATATGTCATGTTTAGTGAAATTCTAGTTGTAGGTAAACAGGATGGTTGACAAGTAACTATGGGCTCTACAAAGAAAACCAGTCTTTCTCAAAGTAAGGAAAGTGATCACATTACCAGTTCCTTCCTTCTTTAGCACTATTTTAGTAGACTGAAGGGGAAAATTAAATCTCTTGAAATATTGCCAACTAGGGTGAATTGGTGAATTAGCCAGGACATACTTAAACCATTTCCTTCTCTTTTTCTTCCCTCCCCTGTGTATGGCTTCCATACCTTTTAGCAATACCTATTTTGGCCATATTATGTCAGTTACAATAAACTGGATCTGCCCTTTACCAACTAACTGTTCGGAAGTATTTTGAAGCTTCATTGCTGTCATTCTTTACTCTAGTGTCAGGCATTGTAAAAGTCTAGAGGGCTTTTGGTTGGCCTCATTCTCAGAGTAACTTCCAGGACACCTCAGTTTAGAAGCGGTACTTTGTTTATATTCTTTCTTACAAAGAATTTTCATTTAGGGATACACTCTCATGTATGTTTTAGTTTTATACTTTAGTTAATTTATGTTCTCATGACTCATGAAGCCTCTTTCTGCCCTTAACGTCTTTCTTTTAAATCCTTGCCTTTTATTCTTATATTTTCATCTATCTTAGCAGCATCATGGTTTAATAATCTTGGCATTTCCAATATCTATCCTCATAGTTTTGGTCTTTAGTAACTATACTACAAGTTTGTGCCTGGATTGACTTCTGCAAAGGCATCTGTTGTGTTTTGGGGTTAATATGTTTGATAGACCAGTAGCTGGAAAGTCAACTTTAGTTCACTTTATATGTTGGCTTATTTTCCTCAGTGGCTTCTGAAGTAGATGCAAAGCTGGTTATTTTCTGCTTAGCTTGGGAGTTTAAGTGATAAATAGCAGCAAAGGATTGTATACCTGTACAATTGCCTTCTTGGAAGGGGTCTTTCAAAGGGTAGACCCTCCATAATTGCTGATAAATATTTTGTTTATGTTTAATAAAAACGTTACCTTTCTTAGCCTCATTGCATCTCCTCATGGATTGAGTTGTTACAGTTAACAGCGATTTTTTTTTCTTGGTTGGGAGTTCACTTTGTGAGGTTTGACTTTGTCATTTTCACCACTGAAGTGCTTAGAAAATTAGAGTAAATAATGAGCCAATATTTCAATACCAGATTAGACACAATTTACTGTGATGTTTCATAAACCACAGACTCCTTTCTTCTGTGAATTCGTGAAGGATCTCTTTTTTTTTTCCAGACATACCGGGATGCAAGTGTAAATTTCCATAAAATTTAAATGAGGTGCTTCCTGTAATTAATGAACAATTGTGGCTGCTCTCTGGTCTGCATTGTAATTAACCGTGATCAGGCTTGTTTAGTGATGACACTGTTCCTGTAATAATTTGACAAGCTACTGTGAATTTGCCAGGTTATTAAACAACCTGCAGCATTCACTTACAGAGTCACAGGGATGCGCTCCACAGCAGCAGCTACTGCTAGTTAAATGCAGCATGAGGGTGAACCAGCAGCAACCCCTGAAGTCTATCTATCACCACAAGCAGATTTATATTCCTGTGATTTTGGAGAACTTAATTAATGTGGTATGGGGGAATCTTGAAAACTTTGTTTATTGTGTGAGGAGCCTGTGGGGACAAAGCTGATCATTTTAAGAACACAACGGAGCCTGCAAATTGTCTGTAGTATACCATTGTGAACAAAATGAAAACAGTTTTCTTAACCACCTTATTAGATAGGTATAATTAATTTTTAAAAAGTTCGTCTCAGATTCACTTATATACAACATCCCCATGTAAGATTATGTTCTCTCTCTCTCTCTTTCTCTCTCTCTCTCTCTCTCTCTCTCTCTCTCTCTCTCTCTCTCTCAAGCAACAGACAGATGACTGTAATAAGCAGTCACATTGTCACATTTCAAGTACTCACCTCTAAGTGGATGGGTAGCCTTATGTCCTTGGTCACTAGTGCACCATCCCCCATCTCCCTTCAGGTTAAGAGCTGTTCAAAACGTTACTGTCTAGTTACTGTGGTGTCTTTCATTCAGATTCTGTTTATTGACTAAACCACAAGGATTCCTGCCCAAAGTACCAGGCGGTCTATGCTTGACTGATTTTGATTTTCTAACATCAGCCCTGGGGTTTATTTGAAAAATGTACACACACTGCAGCTTTAACAAGTCAAGTGACTGCATGTTTTTTGACCATGGAGTAGAGTATATCTGAAGATCATTAAATTTGGTAGTGGGGGTGGCAGTGGTAAATGTGGTAGTTCTTGTACATTTCTGTGTGTAAGTGTGTGTGTGTGTGTGTGTGTGTGTGTGTGTGTGTGTATGTGTGTGTGTGTGCACGAGTGTGTGTGCATGTGTGAGAAAGAGAGAGACAGACATGGTTTTTGTCTTTTCATCTTCTCCAAGAGCCAGAAGGTTTCCTGCCGTTCTCTTTCCAGCTATTGACAAATGATTGCCAGATGTGAGATCTTTGCAGTTCTCTTTCCCTCAGCAAACCTGCAGCGAAGGGATATTTGATTCTCCCTTGCCCATTTCATCTCTTTTCCACATCTGCCAGGGACACACAAGCAATACATCCCTACATGAGAGTTTAAAGTTTACTCAGCTCCTTTTCTCCTTCAGATAAAGTACTCGGAGACAACAGAATGAGGTCCATATGACGCTCTCCCAACTTCTCTGTATGAAATTAGTTGTTTATTTTACTTATCTACCTCTCAGTAATTGAACTTTCATTTCAGTTTTAGTCCAAGGAAAATTTGATGCAACTCTGGGAGTGCTAAGAGTTTACCATTGTCTACTGGCTGCAAAAAGTGTCACCATCACAGCTTCCCCTTGAGTCCCCTCAGCTCTGAGAATGATTGTCTATTCAATAGGACATCCCAGTAAAGCATTTAATATACAAATACCAAATGTTAAGTGTTGAGTGTTGTATAGAATGTATTAGTCATTTAAGATTTAAGAAATCCATCAATGGGTGTGGAAAAGTCACCTTGTTTGGCTTGATTAGTTTTCCCTGTGTTTTTTATCCATTGTCCAAGTTGCTGTGTAGGAGGCTGCAGTTTTAATCACAAGTAGCTTGTAAAAGAGAAAGTGTACTGAGTGGGGAGTCATGTGGCATTAGCTTGGCTGGGGAGGCCACACACAGAACCACTAATATCACAGAAGTCTTTTGCATCTGTTTAGAGTCTGTACTGATAGTGATTTTTTTCCCCATCTAAGTTTGAAAATATTTTCTAAAATGCCCTTATAGCTCATATTCATGCTATAGGGTGGGCTGACACAGGTGGCCTTTCTGTTTTGCTATTACACTTTTTGGCAAAGGAAAAGGCCCCTTATTCCCTGAATAAGATCAGGGTATTTTTTTAAACATTTAAAAAATAATCCATAAAATGTCTGCCACATGTTCTCTAGTTTATGGAAATGTTTTTCAAATCTGAGCCATGCATTGAATTCTTATTGTAAAGGTGCTAGTGTGTTTATTTCTGCCACCTTCTTAGCTACCTATGATTTCTGTTTTTATATCAATTTGTGTTTTGCATAAAATTCAAATGAAGAATTTAATGAATATTTCTGATTTGTAGTCTAAGATTTTTTTATTGTTGTTATAAAACATGGTTAAGGTAAAATGGCTGTGCCTGCTTGTTATCACAATCAGAACAGGAAATATGAAGTTTGTTTTTCAATACACCCTTTAAACAAAATGAGTGAAATAATATTAACAGGC